TCAGGTGATATAATCATGTCGTGCCACAGTCTAAACAAGGACACACAATCTTTTAATCTCGTGTTAATCGCATGCGAGTGCGTGTTTAAATGTTGGTTGCATCATCGTCCTATACTTTGATTTTTGTAGTGTGAATTAAAATAGTAAAATTTGTATCACCATAAACTACAAAAACCAATATAGTATTTAGATATGAATATAGGTAGATAGATATATGCTAGTGATATCACAACTTTGTAAATATGTTTAATAATGACGACTATTAGCCGAAAAACTTGAATTCGTTTTCCAACCCTATTACTTTATTGCAATTTTAATAGTTTTGTGGTTCAAAAAGGGTAAAAATACTCTAAAAGCAATGGCAACAGTTGCCTCAATATTACTTCAAATGTGATGCTGTCTCTAACAGTACGTTGTTCTACAGAAACACAGCTTGGACAACATGTTATTTAGGTAACAGCAAGGTTTATTCTATAACTATGCAACGAAGTGCAAGGTAGGTAATATTCTTATAAATAGTTATGTATTCATATCATATTTACTATATTTACTCAAATCTGAAAAAGTTAAAATTATAGTTAAGACAAGGGCGTATTTAATACATTTATCTAGGGTCCTATGAACGCCTCCATATGACCTTCTAGTCAACAAATATAGCTCGATATCAAATTATTGTTATCGTCACTTCAAATACCTAAGTCAATTCCCAGAGTTCTATCCGACTCAATAAAACTAACTCGATCAAACAATTACTCCTTACGTCCAATCAGCTCTATTCTTATCAAATAGCTTCTGTCCCCCCAGAATACACTTCTTGAGGGAACTGAGGGAAAATTAGGGCCATTTCTTTCTATAAAGGTGGCAGCACTGTGGGACGTGATACAGCCTGCACGTCGTTAACGTCGGTTCATAATCTCCAGTTTCAGACGTGATCCTTTCCCCCAACTTCCCACCCTTAGCCCAAGGCTAGTACGTGTTTCTACTCGTATATCTCAGCTTGAAATACAGTATCTCTAGTGCTGCATAATACATTGAGTTTATGATTCTTTTAAAACTTGATTTTTGATGCCTGTATTAATTGTGATTGCTTTGGTTTTATTTTTAGTTTAAGTACGCTTGTGTCAGCTCTGAAATTTTGCAAGGAAACCGTCCAAACCCTGGATTTGTGGCAAAATCTTTGATCAGTTCCATACAAGTGTTCCACAGCTTAAAACGATAGCATTTGTTACCGTTACCAAGAATAAGATTATAGGTTTTATATAAAACAGAGGATTGACAACTATGTTTTAAATGTTTGATTAAACGCTTTCAAATTTGAAGATTACTGGTGAGATTCCAAGTGTGATAGTCACCAGACGCAAATGCAATTTACCGTTAGGCTATCAGAAAGCTATCATTTAATGATGTTACAAAAGGCTATATGAGAAGACAATGCTAGGCCAGTTCTCTTACAAAAAAGCTAAATGCCACTAAATAAAATTAAAGCACCAAAGCACGAGAGGGTTCCTATTACTTAGATTTCTGGCCTAACAATGAGAAAGCAAGTAATTACGATAAAAACTAGTACTGTTTACTATTTTCTTTAATTTTCACCATTAAGGTTAGTACGTATCTTATACCTGCGTTTGAAAAAATTTTGAACCACTCTTTCTATTCTGACTATAGGTCCAGTAGTGGAAGCATACTATAGGTCCAAAATATAGTTTTTAAACGCAAAAACATAGCTTCGTCTGGGGATGAAAAATGTTGACCACGCTGTTCGTTTTTGATGTGTGGAGACAAACAGAAGTAATTTGGTGTCAAATCAGGGCTGTATGTAGGATGGCCCATCAATTTTAACTTCCTGGCTTGATATCATTGATGCACCTTTAGTTTTCAACATTTCATTCCACGAAGTCAGGCAATGCTGGATCAAATCTTTTTTACGACCAAAAAATGGTCATGTAGGATAGTATTTATGCTAGTAATGTTTAAGGATGCTTCAATCGCACGGTATTTCACATGGCTATGATTTATCAGTTTCACAGCAAGATTCGTCTGGACGGTCTTAACGGATGTCATCCTGGAGTGAACATATGCCACGTTTGAATTCGTTATTCATGGTTTTTTACGGTGCTGTAAGATGGGGCTTCATCCCCATACAACAATTTAAGCTTTACTGTCTTAAAATCCACGACAGATATGAAAAATAACTGCATGAAAGTGTTCCCTGGTCATTTATTTTTTTTTTTACAGGAATTGCATACTTCGATTAACTAAAAGAAAAACACTAATCACATTCAAACACAAAATGTGGTGTTGAGGTTATGTTCAACAATGTAAAGATTACACATGAAATATCAGCGGAAGTAGTGAGTTTTGCCAATGCCAGAAATTTATAAACAACAACCCTCTAATAAAGCCCATTGGCATATGTAATGCCAATGCCACTGAAACATCACCTTAACATAGATGGCTGTAAAACAGGGAAATCCGGGGAATGTGTTTGAAAATTAATTGTAAATAAAAGTGCAAATCATAAAGTAGTTAGGTTTGCTTAAATATGCATTAACCATGATAGTTTTTATACTATATATAAAGAAATTTCCATGCTGCTATACAGTACTGAGTTTTCTCATCCAGTCTTAGTTTTATTGATGCCCAATTGGAGCAGCACATGTCAAATAGGTGTTGGTAATGCAGTGTTGAATAAGTGTGAGAAAAATACTTATATATTTTTGCTCAAACTCTTTAGTAATCAAACAAAATAAATGTTAAATGATGATTGTCAATAAGAGGGTTATTTTCAATTATTTCAAGTTTAAATTTAAAGATAAAATATAATTTTAATTTCTCAAACGTAAAAATATTATCACCAATTATGTCTGTTTTCGATATTGTTTTATCGATTCCGAGCAAGGTTTGGTCCCCCGATACTTTATTTTAACTAGACCAGGTAACATAAATTCTGATTATTGTTATGATTTCCAATCACTATAATAATTTATTTTTGTAAAAAAATACAACCGACTTCAAACGCTCTAAAAAGAATGAAATAATTTCATCTGATCGGGGGTTTCGGGCTCTGCCCCAGTGGCTCTAGAGTTTCCCATGATAACCTTATGATACTCATATTTAAATGGAACGAGCTGTTGGCCCGTCCTACGTACGGGAATCGAGTAGTCAATTAAAACTGAATATGATTCAGTACAGCTAGTTTACAATTTGGTGGCTGATTCAAACACACTGGTTTTGAGTGCAGTAGCTACATACTACCTTCATATTACCTGTTTACATAGGCCTACTATCACTTACCGTACCTTATTTTACCTCAGTGGCCACTGAAACCTCTAAAAGGATACCAGTCTGAAGATGTCTTTCGTTACTTGGTCTTCCAAGTGGTCGTCTGCCTAGTAGTACTCCTTGGAATACTCTTTAAGTTAACGTATCTTCTCTCCACCACGCAAAGCCTATGCCCAGCCCGCTTTTTGGTCTACTTTTGGAATGCGCCCCTTTTTCAAGTTTCTGAATCATACAGTACTACTGGGATGGTTATGGTATGGTATGAATCGGTTTTGGTTTCTACTGACAGCCTGCAACTTATCGTACAGTTTTCTAGAGACCTACTACACCAGTTGACATTTTCATTACGAATAAAAATGTCTGCATGCCGTCATACACATATTAGAACAGCAAGAAAAGGATGTATCAACATGTAATCCACTTATATCTTAAACGAGCGAAACATTTCATGGCATGTGGCATAAACTTACACTTTCACAGATTGCATTTATGACAAAACCTTATTATAGGTTTGAGATGTTAAGCTCAAAATTAAATATCTCCTGATAACGCAGATCTTTTTTATAGGGAAAAAACTAGCCTACATTTTAAGGTGAAATAGTTTGTACGCAAACTCTAACGACCAATGTTTTTGTAAACAAACAACTTGTAATGTAAACATTTCAATGACACTTAGAAACCAGCTGTTAGTTAAACCACCACTGCAACGAAATTAAATTGCTAGCGTCGGCTGATAGACTTAAAAAAAATTAAAACTTAATTTCTAAAAAAACTAAAACCCTAAACTAAAATTATGGCTTCGACATTCCCTAGTTCTCAAAATTATCTTTCTTTCAACACAAAAATCATGAAAATTATATTATATGAAAATTATATGAAAAGAATCTCAAATAAACCTTAGATTTCCCACATGCCTCTGTCTTAATCTGATAAAGATGCTTGAAATAGATTTAACATCCACATACATTAAAAACTAAAAAGTATAAAATAATTTATAAATAAAAAATTTTTTTAAACAAAACGTTTTTAAACGCACTAAAAAGTAGAAAATAATTTATAAATATGTGGAGAGTATAATTACTTGTAAGATTTAAAACTAAAAACGTTGGGTGCATGCAATTGATAATCATACATTAGTTCAATAGGTGAAAGTAATTGTAAACTATCTATTGCATGCACCCCACGTTTTTCGTATAAAATCTTACAAGTATTTTTACTCTCCACATATTTAAAAATTATTTTCTAGTTTTTAGTGCGTTTATAAATGTTTTTTATTTATAAATTATTTTACTATCTTCTATGAAGCAATTACATAGTTGATTTGGCCTACACATTTTACAGTTCATATCATAATTTGTAACCGATACCACATGAATAATTAAATTAATATTAATTGCATTGCACACTTTTGTGAGGAGGTGGGTTAGTATGGGAAGAGGAACTGGACAAGTGTTGGCAATGGTATGCACCCACATACTTGGACAAAACTTGGATACCGTACCGGTAGTTATGTTGTAAATATTAGTTAGATATATGGAGACCAGAGTTTTAAACAATGCCAGTTTCTATACACAAGATCAACAACAGCCTCCATTGAAAAGTGTAACATCTGAAAGGGTTTATCTTAAGTTAAGCTACAAGGAAAACAAAAAATACCTATAGAAAAAAAACAAAACTTTCACAAAAAATTTATTAAAATACAAAAATACAGAAAGTTCTCATTGGCTAAGCTGACACATAAGAGCCACTCCCCTCATGATCCAATGATCCTCAGGGTGTTTGCTAGGCAGCAATATAGCTATGACAAAGTTGGTAGAGTGTCCTGTGGTCAGCAAAGTACCTCGGCGCTCCGTGGTCTTGTACAGTGGACATTTGTACACAGACTGTACCTCCAGCTCATCTTTCTTGATAGGCTTCAGCCACATCTAAAACAATATCAGTGTCCAGTGTAATTAGTAAAGTTATTCAGCCCAAAAAATATTTTTTAAATATTAAAATAATTTCAAAACAAGTTTTGGTAGACTTATAATAATAATAAGTCAAAAATAGGCATCAAAATGTCAGATTTTTGATGCAACTAAGAATCAACCCATCCATTCAATTCCCACCCGAGCCATCCACCATATATTTTTGGTGAGCCTCCCTCCCCAAGCTCTGACACAGACAGGTGGACTCCTCATGAGTTAAACAACTCATGCCTTGACCAAGACATGATTCAACACCTCATTTTACAGTGCTTTCTTCTAAATGGGGAAATAACTCCTTAAAACACTCAGCCATTAAAAAATAACGATGTAGAGTGTTCAACTAACACTCCTCAACCAAATTCCTTGTTTTAGGAAAGTATAGCTTTCAGCCGCTGTTGACTTACTCTCCTCGTTCGTGTTGACTTACTTTCCTCGCTGTTGGCTTAGATAGTTGTAACTGGAAGTCTTTGGTTATGTTACTCAATGCATTCGATATATCAGCCTTCAGGTCAAAAGTGTCATAAATTACAAGGTTATGTTAAAATTGAACTTACAAAAGGCATAGAGTCGTATAAAACTTTAGGTAAAGATTCATCCAAGGCGTGAATCTTAGCGTTCCACCGAGCTCCCTCCAAGAACAGTCCGTACACATAGACACCATCTTCTGGAGAAAGTGACAGTCTCTCTTTTGTTATAACCTGAAAGTTGAAAATGTCCAACTAATTGGGTGAAATATTTGAATCTATGGTTCCTTATTAAATTTATTGTTAGGCTATTCTTTTTTATTACACTACAAAATCATTGCCCACTGTGAACTGTTGGTACACCTTTGAAAGGTTTGCAATCAAATGATCACTTGGCAGTACCTCTGAACACTCAACAAACATATGGGAGGCTAAAGATACTGAAAGGTACTTACTTCAAAATCAAAGGTGAGCAGGTCTATTGGAATTCTGTATTTTCTAGCAAAATTCTGTTGGGCTCCAGTCAGAAAGGCTTGTGTGAAGAAAAATCCAGAAAGCCAGAAAGTAGGCGGGGCCCCGTTATCAAACCATTTCTGAAATTAGGTTAATATCTTAGAATCAAATAGCCTATAAGATGCATGCAGTCAGATGTGCATAAGATGTACGTTAGAAAGAACAATATTGGAGAAGAATATTGACTAGAGACTGGTTTCAGTATGCAATATTAAATTACAAAATACTTCTTTGCACCTTTGCACTTTGTCTTAGGCAATTATATCTTAATGAGAATCACTTAAAAATTACAGAAACATTGTGTAAACATTTGAAAACTGTTTGAAAATGAACAAACCTGTAAGAACTCGAGCCTTGCCAGAAAGTCACTGATGTAACTGCCCAAAGGCTTCAAAGATGGATAAGATTTCTTTTTCCACAGAGCAGGAATTTTCCCTGTCAATACACTGTTGAAGACTTCCTCTAGCTCTGTTGTCATTACAATTTGGCCTGAAATAGAAATAACATTTTAAACCGTGTTACGCAGCTAATTTTAGCAAATTTCCCTATAGAGAAGTAACTATGACTGTAGGTGGCTCAGTAAGACTTAGACTCGGGACCGAATTACTTATTCATTTCGATGTCCCCAGAGGCTAACACTATTCGTTCAAATCTTCCGTATATATGTATATGTGACCATGAACAAGATAATCCGAGTAATTTTGGTCTCATTTAGAAGGATAATTTGGTTAATTTTTATACCTAGTAGGCTTGAAGTTGTAGGGGGAATCAACTTGAATGAGTTGAAGAATTAGAATGAGCAAACTAGCAAGTTTGGGTCATGAGAACTTTTCAAACTTTTTTTAATTCTATTTTTACCTATGGAACATAACAATGCCCCATTTGAAATAAAACTATTATGTAGAGCTTAAAAACGCAAAAACAAATAATATTGTATATTGAAGCGTTGTTGTAAAATTAAATGTTAAACAATCAAGATCAGTGGGTTTTTAATATATGATCCTAAATAATGAAACAACTGATCTTAGTAACAAAGTTCCACAGATCACTCAACTTGCATTCATATTCAGCACCAAATGTCTAACTTGCGTTGCTCTCTCAAGTCATGATACTCACCCTTGATCGCCTTGCGCAGGTTGCCCAGACTGCCTCGGATAGTTCGAAGCAGGTTGTTAAACCTCTCCATCTCCTGAACCAGGACAGTGTTCATGCTCTGGTTGTACGACGTTGGATACTTCTCCAGCGCAGTCACTATGTCATAGTCCTTCGGCACCTTGTCCAAAATACCTCCGGCCACGTCAAACACTGTCTTCTCAGCATCGTCTGCTCCGCCACCACCAGCCGCGTCCTGGACATTCAGACATTGTTTAGGTAAGGCAACTCTTCCAAAATATTTATTAACCTCGTCCAGAGTTTGTGAGATTGGTTTGCAAATGTTCCAAAACTTTGCAAACATTTAGCAACATTTAGAAAGGGCTATTCGTTTAGTTTATGATTTGCTTGATACATCTTGGTTTTGCATTCTTTAAGCTGAATATTCGTGGAAAAGAGCAGAATGGAATGAGGTAAATTGTATGGATTTAATTTATTACTGACTAAGATAGTCAGATAGTGTTTTAGCCACGACTATTATAAAGCCACAATTACCATTTAGACATTTTATATTACAGCCCCTTTGTTGTTGTTTCCTGAGTTCTTGGTAGGTTAGATGTTTGTGTCGCCCTATGCATTTCACCAGCTTCTTTGGCATTTTCAGGGGAGGGGTCTTCTTAAGTTATCATCTAATCACTAACACCAAAGTCAATACAGGGTTATTACAAATGATGTTCATGATTTCATACATACATAAAATATGGTTTTATTTGTTATACAAAGAAATAAAATGGTTACAACTTTTGAAAAACTCATAAAGTTTTGACACAGATACACAGAACTATAAATGCTTGATACGGGAACCCCTTGTAGTACGACAGATGTCAATAATGTAGTCAAGCTCTTGCTAGACTTTGAAAAGTGTGTCTAGGTCTATTGTTTCAATAGCATTGGTAATCCGTTGCTGGATCTCAAGTATGCTATCTGATAATGGTGGTGTGTACGCCTTATCTTTGATGTATCCCCACAAGAAAAAAATCAGGGGGTGATGTCCAGAGATCTTATAGGCCAGTTCAGGGGTGTGTCATTATTCGGACCACCGAGCTCGTTCCTTATCTCAGGCAGCACATTGTTCAGCCCTACTACAAGTAACATTTAAATGCAGCCATTTCTTTTAAATTTCAAGTGTCTTTTGCCAATATAGTGGTTACTAGGAGGATAATCGTTAAAAATGGTTCTAAAGTGTCGTTGCACACTAATAACAGATTGGTTAATGGTTAATGTAATATTCCAACTGGCAAAAAGCTTTCCTGCCTTCAAATTCGGCCATTACACAACACTTACAACAATTGACTTGACAAACAGCTGATATGCACCCAAACCAATGTAAATGAAACTTTATGAGTTTTTCTTTCCAATGGTACCAACTAAAATAGTCTTGAAACAAATTAACCCAGTAATATTTATAATCGAAATCAGGAACATCATTTGTAATAACCCTGTATTTACAAGACTTACCAGCCATCTTCTGGTCAATGGGCAATCATTAACCAAACCACTCTCCTAACTAACTTCACAAATTAAACTTATCATTAACCCTACTTGCTTTGTATTGGACAAACAGGTGTTTAGTGTCATAATAACACCAGGTCTTGCATGATGTATTCCCTGATAGGGTAGGATCATGATCATAACTATTCTAATTATTATTATTTGAATACGTAGAAGAACAGTTAGAAAGAGAGACCTTAGTTCTGTAACATGCTAAAACTTGATTACAAAACTTACCTTAAGTTTCTTTAACTCCCATAAATCCTTAAGAGCAGCAAAACAAAGGGAACAGCAGTATTAATTAACGATACTCCTAGATATTAGACATCATACAATTCAAAAGTATTTTCAATTGCAAAATAAAATAATACACAACTGATGTCAAAAGAGAGAAATAGGAGGAATGATTTATTTGGAAGTTGAGAAAAAAAGATTGTATCCTCTCCTGCATTTGAATTAAAAAAGTTGCAAAATATATAGTATAGAAGATCATTTGAAAAATATCATATAAGCCACATTAAACACAAACAGTTATAAACATAATGGACATAGATGATTTATAATATTTAACACATGTGTCGGAAACATGACTGCAATGAAGATGCAGAATGAACCAAACCTACAAATTTTGATACCAGTCATTAAATTATAGACACACAACACAATGGCATAGATAAACAAACTCCAACCTTTTGCAAGCACAATTGGAAAAACTCAACTGAATGAGTCAAGCAACGAATAATCACCTATCTAGTCATAAAAAAAAACAAAAAAAAACACAGTAATACCGTAAAGAAATACAAATATGGAAACTTAACCATTAAAACATTTAGAAAAACAACATAACACATGCAACAAAAAAGTTTCAAGACAAAACTTGTCCACATAAACACACTGCAAAGTCATGCAACAAAAAGTAAAACCAAACCCAAAATAGAAATGTAATACGTGCCGTAAAAACACATGAAAAACTCATGCAACTCACCACTCTGTCCTGAAGGCAACAAAGGAAACAATTACACATATTACACCTGAAATGGCACAAACATTAGATATTGGACTTGTAGGAAATATGGTAATCAATAGCATGAGAAAAAATCAAATAGAAGTTAAGAAGAAATAACCAAGAAACATTTCTGAACTATGGAAGTATGGATTCATCATTGAAGTGCATTAGGGGTTGGTGATTGTATTTGAGAGTTATTTAACTTAGTTAGATTTTGGATAGATTATTCAATACCATATTATAAGTAGCTAAATGACAATGAGTTTTCCTAAATTTATTCAACAAATGGTATCGCTAAAAGCAATTTATGGAGTATTTAAAAATCTCAATTTCTAATTAATAAATCCGATAAATATACCCATTTACAGGACGTTAAAATTTGGTTATATCTGATAACTGTTTACATTTAGATACTCAAAGAAGTAAAACTTATCTCAGAAAGCCAAAGCACATTTACAAGTGGCAGAATTTGTAATTTCAGACAAACAAGTTTCTACAGCTGAATGAATCCTAATCATAGGAGCTTCATGCTGCTGTTGCTAAGATGACAGTGATGGTTCCACCTTGCCAATGTAAAAGATCTCTTTTTAAACAGCAACAAACACAGATTGAATTTTAAGTGAGGAAGTTAATGCTAACATATTTTTAAGAGTTAAGGGTTGCAAATGCTTGCCTATTGTTAAGTCAATACCTGAGTGAAAAGTGTGTTCGTAAAAAGAACAGTAGTTTCCTGCTGGTCTTTCATAATGTCTGCATTTTCATTCATCCCAAACACCGAGGGGCTGGTGATCAGAGGGAACGTCTTGACGTAGTTCACAAATGCATCGTGGTCCTTCACGTCAGGCACGTAGTACATCTCTGAAGATGAAAAAAAAAAACAGTTCCTACTTATAATAGACCGACTACTATGCATGGTTTTAGTTGGACTGATTATTTAATCATAAAATATGTAGGCCTATTCATCCGTTTTTTGTTTGTGTAGGCTTTACCCATAAATCATAATTATTTATCTAGCTGGAGACAAGTTACAAATTGTCATGATCATGAAGTACCTTTATGTGAACTATATGTTTCAACTAGTAGTCCTTAGTTATATCTTAATTAATTGTTTGTTTGTATTGCTTGGCTTTGTAGCCTACGAGTGCCTGTACAGTCTATCAATAAAATCAAATTACTTACAAACAAACTGTTGTGCAAGAACAAATAACAGACTTATACATGACAACGCTTACTACAATGTTTTGCTTAGCACAGAAACCTGCACTCAACATCACACTTACTTGACGGATCAAAGTAGTACGTCGCATCAGACAGCAGACGAAGACAATAGAATTTGCGGAGGATTGTGTTTAGACATCTTCTATCCCAATCGTCCGTAACTCTTCCTCCATAGTTACACTCTCCGGTGAGATAGCAGAGCGCATCAAACTGTACATCCTACGTCAACAAACAGAAAATCATAAAAGTGAAAATGGACGGCTAACAAGACCTTAAGAATATTATTAAGAAATAGGGTTTTAGATTATATTCTGCATTTTACATATAAAAATTAGTGTTTATGTCACTTTTTAGGTCGTTGAATCCTAAACTGGAATCTATGACTTTTAAAACGAAGAGTGTCTCAAATAATATTATAGTAAGGAACAGCTGCACGGTAAGTTTTAGCCTGTTGATGATAAGACTTTTAATTTGTTGTAGGTTCAACTGTACTGAGACTGTATTTAGCTTAACAGCCAATCAAAATGCTTCATTTTGATGCAATAACAGCATTAAGCTGGTGTCACATAAAGTTATCATAGGGGTACGGTAGCTGTAATAAACTGATAAATATAGCTTATACTATCCAGTAAGGTATCATCTTGTTTTGAAACCAGGTAAAGATCAAAATACTTCCACTCACCTCATACTGGTTCAGCAGTATATGTAGTTGCTGCACACTTATTCTCAAGTCAGTCTCGTTAAACTCGTAAGGTATGTTCCACCCCGAGGGTCCAAACTTTCTCCGCTCTTGAACCAGAGCGTGGAAAAAGCACAGCCCAAAAACAAGTTTCTTAAAGGCCGCTGTTTGTTTACAGCCTTCGAAAAACTCCAAGTTTGCTATCGGATCACTTGTTAATGACCTGCAAGTTTCACAAGTATAATAATAAAAGTAAAAAGTATAATAATACAATCAAGAGTGAACTTTTTGAAAGTATTATCAAAGCGGGCTAATAAAGACAGATGGTCACCATCACTTAATCTTTGAAAGTGAACTTTAGAAATAAATCAAGCGCTATGCGCGGGGAAGGAATAAATAAAATGACCTTTTTGTGCCCACTTGAATGAAGCATGTATATAATAAATTGTTTATGACCTTTAAACCTTTGTATCAAAGGGATTACCTCAAGACATTTGCTCGCATTCCTTTAGGTGGTTCATTGGTCATTTTCACCCCGTTTTGCAGAACAAACACAGGGAAATGGTCTGCAGGATATGAAGTCAACCAGAGTCTGAAGTCAGGGTGAGTGGACTCAGGGCTAAAGTTCTCACAGAGCTGAAATATCAATCATAATTGTAAAAAAATCATTACTGCAATGTCCCACTTTCACATCTAAGGACCCTAGTTCTAGTCCGGAACTGTTTTACACATTACTTCAGGCTTGTCCTAGTGGGTTGCGGCATTATCACATAAAAATACATTGGTAATTGGCGTTATTTGAACCCGGGACCATTAAAGTCCCTGGCACTCAAGTCCCACGCTCGCCACTAGACCAGCTCACTCCCCTCATCACTACACTAATATTATCAAGAGAAACAAAAATTAGACTGCCAGTGAGAACTTAACTGCTTTGTTGGGCTTAATGTACAACATAAAGTGTCCTGTTTAATTTGTTTGATTTTTGTTTCTATATAATGTTTGGTTTGTTTGTCTATTTCATAAATGCAAAATAAGATTAATGTATAGTGAAATAGTTCAGTTTCACAACAATGTATAGTGAAAAAGTTTATGTCAATAACAGGACCAACTTGTGCCAACATTCATCAAAGAAACAAATAATTAGCATTAGTGTTAGGTAGTTTTAATAAAATCTGATAAATAAAATTTATGTTCTTTTTTATTCCATTTATTTTTAACACCAATAAAACAGCTGACCAAATTATTATTAAATTAGACTGAATCATTGTTCCATTGCATACTAAATTATGCATTCAGCTTAAATTATTATACTATAACAAAACTAAAGTGCACTATCCTTTCCTTCTTCTGATAGAAGTTCCAATAAAAGTAAAAGTAGCAGCAGGAGGAACAGAGAAGTCGCTGATGTTATTAATGAACTCATTAAGATTCAGGAAGAGGAAACAGCTATCACAATAGCACGTGCAGAAGCTAATGCAGAGGCAAAAAGAGAAGAAGCTAGAGTAAAGGAAGAAGCTAAAAGAAAGGAGTTAGAATTGAAGAAAAGACTGATGGAAGAAAGACTATCACAAATCAATTCTAGATCGTCCTCAAGAGGTAGTAGCACTTCCAGGCGTTCTCTCGTGTCAATTGATCAACCTATACCAACGAAAGAAGCTGTTACCTTTTGGATGCAAGGTATTGAAAATGAAATGATTCCTGATGATCAAGCACAGAATTACAACACTGTGAGGGTAAGGGATGAGCCGGCTGATGACCATCTAGATGATCAGCCAAAGCCTAGGGCCAACAAGTCGGTGAGTACATCCAAAATACCAAATACAAACGCTCAAGATGAACAGTTTAAGCCTTGGGCAAATAAACCAGTAAGTGTTTCTAAAATGATGCAGTACCAAAAACATTTTCCAGACCAATTTGAGCGGTTTGGTGTAAGGCCTCGAGATGTTAGATATGAAAAGCCTCGAGATGAAAATACCTTAACAAATCTGCTCAAAACAAATGGGAAAGAGGTCCGTGCTAGGGTTTTGTCTGTTCTCCCAGATTTTAGTGGAGATCTCAGTCAGTGGCTGGCTTGGATTGCTGAGTTTAAACGCTCTACTGACATAAACAACTACACTGATCTCGAAAATCTTCAGAGACTACAAAAATCATTGAATGGTAAGGCAAAAGAAATTGTTTCTGCACTTTTAATTTATCCAGAAAATGTTTCTGAGATCATAAATTTGTTAGAACGTCGCTTTGGACGTCCAGAAGTAATAATTAAGAGCTTAATAGAAAGTGTGAGAAACAAGCCTCCAACAAAAGATTACAAACCTGATACTTTGATAGCATTTAGTGACATGGTGCGTAATCTTGTAGTAACTGTTAAGTCTCTTAATCAAGAGCATTATCTGTTTAATCCACAGCTTTTAGAAGAGCGTACAGACAAATTGTCTACTAATATGAAACTAAACTGGGGAATGTATGTCATGTCCCAGCAAACTGAGGTAAGGAAACCAATAGGGCTAGATAGTTTCTCAGTATGGCTGTCATCAGTGGCAGAAGCAGCTACAGTTTGTACTTCTACTTCTGTTTCCTTTGCTGGAAACATCAACAAAGGCGCAGGAAGATACGAGTCTGGTCAGAAGAATTTTGTACTTATGCACGAAGATAGAGAGAAAAGGTTAAAGAAAAGACTGTGCCTCTGTTGTAAAAAAGACAGCCATAGTTTAGAAGATTGTAAATATTTTCAGAAAAATGATGTACAAAGCCGTTGGGAACTGGTGAAAAATAATAAGGTTTGCTTTAACTGTTTGAAGATAGGTCACAGAGCAACACAATGTCGTAAAAAAGGAGTTTGTGGATTGAATGGATGTGTTTATCATCACCACAATTTGCTGCATAACAATATTAAACAAGATAAGAAAAATGAAGTCATAGATGTAATTGAGGCTCCGACAATTGCTGGGTCTAATAAGGAGCATATTGGATATCAAGATGAGTCGCTTGATAGAGTACTATTACGAGTCCTTCCAGTAAAATTGATCGGAAGTAAGGGAAATGAAGTAAACACATTTGCATTGATTGATGATGAATCTACAATATCAGTCATAGAAAAAAGTTTGGCAGATGAACTCAATCTTGATGGACCAACGATACCAGTATCATTTTCTTGGACTGATGGGTCAACATACTCTGAAAACCTTTCAAAAACTGTTTCAGTAAAGATTGTCAACGATGAAGGAGAACAATTTGTTCTTGGTAATGTAAAAACTTTGAAAGATTTACAGTTACCCGTTCAGTCCATGAATATGAAGAAAGTTAAGTCAAAATGGCCTCATTTACAACAAATTTCTGAAAAAGCATTTCATCGTGGCCGGCCCCGACTGCTAATTGGTCATGAACACATTCACTATACCGTGCCTTCAAAAGTTGTCATTGGACCTGGAAATGCCCCAATAGGACTTAAATCAAAGCTTGGCTGGACAATCAATGGCCCTACTGGAAAAGAGCAATATCACAGTAGAATTAATCAAGAATATGTGATGTTCAAAAGCGATATGAAAATTGAAATGGAAGAAATGAATTCAATGATTAAAAAAAGCTTTGAACAGGACTTCATTGATTATCCAAGCAACAATATTTCAAAAAGTGAAGAAGAGGTCAGATCGGAAGTGATAATGAAAAGTACGTGCTCACAAACAGAAGACGGGCGCTGGGAAATCGGTTTGCTATGGAGAGAAGAAAATCCTCAACTACCAGAAAGTCGCTCTGTAGCGTGGCGTCGATTGAATACCGTAGAGAAGAAACTGAAAGATAATATTATAATGAAACGGCAATACGATGACCAGATGGAAAACTACGCTCAGAAGGGCTACTCACGAAAACTAAGCGTAGAAGAAGTTCAACTCAAAAATGACAAGACTTGGTATCTTCCGCATTTTTCGGTTGACAAAACAAGAAAACCAAACAAATTTCGATTTGTTTTTGATGCAGCTTCAAGATCACATGGTCAAAGCTTAAACAGCTACCTGCTACCTGGACCCAATCTATTTAACAACCTTACGGAAATCTTGTTTAAATTTAGAAAGCACAAAATTGCCATTGCTGCTGACATTGAAGAGATGTTTTTGAGGATTAAAGTAAGACGTGAAGATCAAGATGCTTTAAGATTTCTGTGGCGGGGAGAAGAAAGTGGAAGAGTAGAAGATTGGTGCATGGCATCATTGATTTTCGGAGCTGCATGCTCTCCTACTTGTGCAATTTATGTCCTTCAAACCAATGCTGAGAAAAATGGTGATAGCCATCAAGAAGCTGTGCGAGCTATTAAAGAGCAATTTTACATGGACGATTATTTAGATAGTATGGAAAGTGTTGATGAAGCTAAAAGTTTGGCCAAAGAAGTTGTTTCCATTTGTAACAAAGGAGGTTTCAATTTGAGAAACTTCATCAGCAATTCTCAAGAATTTATGAATGCATTACCTAAAGAAAGTTGGTCGAAAAACTATTTGAATGATAACCTGAAGTTGAGTGACGAAAATAATGTAGAAAGGGTCTTGGGTCTGTATTGGAACTTTCATGAGGATAGTTTCAACTTTAAAACGGATTTTGTAAGAGTTGACAAAGATGTAGTCAGTCTCTTGCGATTACCTACAAAGCGAGAAGTGTTACAAGCAGTGATGTCAGTATACGATCCACTAGGTTTCATCACACCAATAACGATGAAAGGGAAAATACTGATGCAAGAACTCTGGAAGGTGAATGTTCAGTGGGATGAAACAATACCAGTAACTTTAAACAACTTGTGGCTGTCCTGGATAGAAGATGTGTTGAATGCCGAACGCCTAAAGATACCACAATGTTATGGTTTAACAGGAGGTGAATCAGTACAGTTACATGTATTTTGTGATGCTAGTAAGCAGGGCTATTGTGCAGTAGCATATTTAAGAATAGAAAAACAAGACCTAGTAAATGTTGCATTTGTTTTTGCAAAGTCAAGAGTGGCTCCTATACGTGAAACGACCATACCACGACTTGAACTTCAAGCAGCAGTTTTGGGTAGTCGAATTGCGAACCTCATTCTTCAGGCTCATAAAGAAGTTCTCACAACATATTTTTGGACAGATTCGAGAATAGTTTGGTGCTGGCTGCAATCAAGAAACAAGCAAAAGTCTGTGTATATTTCTAATCGTGTTAACGAAATTATGCAATTATCGGACTCAAAACAGTGGAGATGGCTTCCTAGTTCGAAAAATGTAGCTGATAGTGCAACACGAGACTCTACATCCATTCTGTCTGACAATAATGGTCAATGGTTTAGAGGACCGGAATTTCTGTACGAGCCAAAGGAAATGTGGCCTAAGATCGAAGATCAGTCCAAGGATCTTGAAAACACGGATTTGATGCTGTTTAATGCTGTTAAGAATGACGAAAAGCCTCTCATTGACATGGAGAGATTTTCCAAATACTCTAGGCTGGTAAGAACAGCAGCTTGGGTGCTACGTTTTATCAGCAACTGCAACGCCAAAAGAAGTCAAGCTGAGACAACTAAACAATCCAGTTTATCAGTAGAAGAACTTGAACGAGCTGAAAAACTATGCTTTCAGTTATCACAAAAAGAAACATTTTCTCATGATTTATGTAGTTTAAAAGCAGGAAAGCCTCTACCCCGTCAAAGTCGCCTTTCAAAGCTAAGTCCAGTCCTAGCAGAAGACTTATTGAAAATGAAAGGGAGAACTGAGTATGGAAAGGTTGTTAGTCAAGATGTCAAGACTCCGATCATCTTGGATCCAAAGCAACGACTAACAGTGTTATTGATTCACAAAGAACACGAAAACGCAGCTCACCAAGGACAAGAAACAGTCGCAAACACTTTGAGGCAGAGATTTTGGATAATACGGCTGAAACAAGCAATCAAAAGTTGTTGGGCAAACTGTAAAAAGTGCCAATTGCGCAAAATGATGCCCAAGACACCTGAAATGGCCCCTTTGCCTGCTTACAGGCTAGAACCTTTTGGAAGACCTTTTACATGTGTGGCACTTGACTATTTTGGGCCCTTAGAAGTTAAAGTGGGTCGTCGACACGAAAAACGCTACGGAGTTCTGTTCACTTGTCTTTCAGTACGGGCAATCCACCTTGAAATTGCTGCCTCACTCAACACAGATTCAGCCATATTAGCTCTTCGAAGGTTTGTTGCAAGGCGAGGGTGTCCAAGAGAGATTATATCTGATAATGGAACAAACTTTAAGGCAGCAGAAAGAGAGCTAAGAGAAGCTTTACTGACATTTGATGAAGAAAAGATTAAAACTTTTTGCTTAGAGATGAAGATGAAGTGGAGCTTTCTTCCACCTGCCAGCCCACATATGGGAGGAGCGCATGAGCGGCTTGTTCAATCAGTAAAGAAATGTTTGAATGTAATCTTGCATTCACAAGCTCCAAGAGAAGAAACTCTATTAACTGTCATGTGTGAGGTTGAATACATAGTCAATAACAGACCTTTGTATCCTGTGTCTGAAGATCCTGCCGATGAGCTACCTTTGACTCCAAATCATTTCCTACTCGGTGGCGCCAACAAAGTTGCTCCAGTGGTCAACATAAGAGACAAATGCCTTGTGAAGCAGTGGAAAATAGCTCAGAAATATGCTGATTCGTTTTGGAAAAGATGGCAACACGAGTACATTCCTCTGCTCAATAAACGAGTTAAGTGGCATATTCATCAAGAAAATCTACATGTGGGCAACATGGTCCTAATTGCTGACGACAAAGAACCAAGAGGCATGTGGTCAAAAGGCATTATAGAAGCAACCTATCCTGGCAAAGACGGCAAAGTCAGAGTTGTTGATGTGCGAACTACGACAGGGATTTTCAGAAGACCTACTAGCAAAATTATAAAACTTAATGTTTAAAATGTTGTGGCCCGGAGAAATGTTAAATAGTTTTGTTATAGTATAATAATTTAAGCTGAATGCATAATTTAGTATGCAATGGAACAATGATTCAGTCTAATTTAATAATAATTTGGTCAGCTGTTTTATTGGTGTTAAAAATAAATGGAATAAAAAAGAACATAAATTTTATTCATCAGATTTCATTAAAACTACCTAACAATTAGTGTTACATTACGAATGCAATGTCGTCTATGCAAAAATATTAGCATAACTGCTCATAACCGAAATAAAATAATTGTTTGTAGTTACAAAGATTAAACATTGATTCAATTTAATAATTTATTGATTTTTACAAAAGTTATGATTTGTTGACTAACTTGTACTACTAAACTTGACTCAAGGTTTGATAATATCACTCAAGAGTCTAGTCAATACCATAGAAAACCAAATTTGAAATTAAAAACGTCCAACCAAGTGTACCTTTTCCAACACAGGCATCCAGCTCTTGGCCAGATGACAGTTCTGCAGTAATACCCAGGTTCCATTTTTGACTCCTTCATCTATCATCCTCACAGCTATTGGGCCCTGGCCTTGACCCAGGGACAGCGAGTTTAGTCTGTTCCCTCCGAATCCCTACACAGGATAACACTTTAGTTTGGGGTTCCGTAAACCTATGTTTTGTGTGAGTTTGAGTTTAATATAAGACTGAGAGCTTATAATGCTCAGGTAATAATAAGAAAGTCACCTATTCAATCTAGAGAGAAGACAGTAGTATTTTGATTGTGTGTAACTGGGCTTGATTGAAATAAGATATCAACAGAATGATCCTGTAGGAAAAAAATTCTGATCATAGGAAATAACAAAGGTACACAAAGCATCTCACTTCTTTGTACACATAACAAATACTCTTTGCTCTTATTATTTTTAAATACTTAATATTGTGCCCCTGACATACTGATGCATGTTTCAAATTTACATTTAACACTGTATTACATATTACCAAAAGTTATAAAGGTTTGCACCATACAACTAAAATTAACTAACAGAACATAATGTATTTCAATTGAAATTTTTTGGACAAGGGAACAGGAGTTTTTTTTTCAGGATATATTTTACAAAAACATATTTACTAAATATATCATTATCTCTTATTTAAATATATTTTCCTTTCCATGGATTGAATTAGTTTGTTAATACTTCTGTAAGTAGTAACAAACTAATTGAATCCATAGAAAGGAAAATCTATTAGCTTACAGTGTGGATATAAAATAAATATTCTCACCAAGCAGTTATTTTATATAGAGTTGTTGACATAAAATAAAAATAACTTCTAATTTTGCACACATAATAATTACCATATCCTCAGCAAACTTGAGCAGCAGAGCTGTGGGATCAGCACCAGGAGTCAGCACAAAGATGAGAGGAATGCAGCAATGGGAGTCAGCAAACGATGCTGGGAGATCAAACGGAGGCGGCTCCACAAACCTGCGACCTAACTGTCCTGTGAAAGAGGGGTTTGGTTAGGTCGTGACTCGTGATACACACATTCACAGTATTAGGCGTGGACTTTCTCACCTTACATAACACAGATAGTAAAGACTGCAGTTTAGAGGTTGAAGTTAGACATTAGACAGAAGGATCTGAAACTATTAATTAAAATCCCAATTGGCAAAAACAAAGGAGGCAAGGTCGTTTTAAGTAACTTTATTTGGTTAATCAATGGTTGAAATTCACAAGTTCTTTTAGTTCAATGTAATCTACAACAGTTTACTGTTTTAACACGTTGAGTGCTGACAACCTATAAACGGGCGCTCGCCAATGGCGGGCGAAGCTCTGGCGCGCAACCGAATCAGCGAACGCAATTGGCATTCAAATATTTCAAACTGACAAATCACAAAAGAGCAGCGGTGATTATACTGCGTTTCCCCAAGAGTTCACATAGTTCACTGAAACACCCAAAGGTAGCAGCACTGCCTGGATCCGTACCCAGTGTCTTTGTTATCTGGGTCAAAGAGAGAAAATCCCCAAAAACCGGGACAAAAGCATTGCCAGACGGGATTTCACGCAAAATTTTAGTACCAACCTATACAAAAATAAAGCTCCTATTCTAAGCTACAACAATCTAAGCTGGCAACAATTATAACCTTCCCCGGAAATGGCTGAGCTCATACTGACTCAATGTATATCAGGTGGTTGGCCGCCGACGATTACCGGCGTGCGCCACCTGGAAGCGCTAGTTACGCCTACTAAAGTCGGCACGAGCAGTCAACATGTTAAGTTATTTTATCATCCATAATCTTAAAATCTACAACTGTACAAACAAAATCTTTTTCTTAAAACAATTGACAATGGTTTTCTGAAATTTTCTGAAACCTGCACCATTGCAGAACCATTGTCTAGCTAATTTTCTAATTAATTTGAATTTTTGATTATGGTTTTGGTTAACCTGATTTCCAGTTTATAACTAGGTGCTGGGTTTTACTGAGCGCTCCACACTCCTAGCTGGAATATTGAGAATCTTGGATCGACTCACCTTGCTCCTTATACTATGGTAACCACACCATTCACCATTTCTCCACTGTGTGTGTATGTGATGATTGAATCACATTGAGATTTGACTCTTTAATAGTTAATAATGAATTTAAATTGTAGCCGAATAAATAATATTAACCTTAAAAGCTAATATTGTAAAAAAATATTTTGTTATAAAATTTGAGAGGGTGCAGCCCACTAGCCCCCAATGGAAGCGCTTCCAATGCTGTTTGGTATCCTTCCATTTAGAAAGTTTTCACAATTTCCATTGAATAACAAAGAGAGCAAGGCTTCGGCCACTGAGGTCCCAGGTCCTAATACCACTAACCACCAATGGATTTTATTCATGTGATAATGCCGCAACCCTCTGGACATAGCCTGAAGTATTGCGTACAAAAGTTCAGGACTAGAGCCTGACGTCCTAGAATGTAAAGTTAGGACATAAAAATAATGGTTTCTTACTTTCTTATAGCAGGTACAAATAAATACAAAGTGGATGGCTGGAATATATTTCAAATACCCACTTTCCACTTCATCCTGAATCGCTGGAACAACCTTGTCATATCGGACACATCTTAGCATTATAATCTTCTGAAATCTATTTAATTTCTTTTCCCAAGGGTCGGGATATGGGTTTTTGTGTGGTTCTACACTATCAAAGAACTCTTTCCACTCCTTTTGATGTGTCTCAAAATGTTTTCGGAAGCCCTAAAAACACAAACCAGTTAAGTTACTAAATGGAATATGTACTAGTTTCTAATAGTTCTCCTTTCAATTAGGCTTGGTTAAAAAGTCAGTGTATTGAACTGAATAAAGAAATCTACATCAGCTCACCCTGTTAGACGTTCAATTCAACTACATTCAGTTACATTATAAAAGTGATAAACTGTTTAGCTATAATGGAATGGAAAGGTCTTTTTATATAATTTGTCAGATCTGCTATAAATCTGTACTCATCCAAACAGTGACTTTAACCGAACAACATGACAATTTTGACAGTTTGGTGGAATAAATAAATTATTATTATTTTCCTAGATATTTCTGGTCACAGTTGATACATCTACCTTGAAGTTTGTGAGCAGATCACAGCGGCAAAGCTGGTCCCAGGAGTTCTGTGGCAGCCATGTTGCTGGGTTGGGGTAAGGGTTGTCCAGACCAACCCCTCCAGTCAGTAGAAACATCCATTCTGAGTGGTCCATCTGCTGTTTGTTGAACATCAGGTTGACTGTGAGTAACAGGGAGAATAGCAGCTTGTCCTGTGACAAACACAACACAGACAGTTAACTCAGTAGTTCTGTGACAGCTAGGAAGCTGGGTTGGGGTGAGGGTTGTCTAGACCAACCCCTCCAGTCAGTAGAAACATCCACTCTGAGTGATCCATCTGCTGTTTGTTGAACATCAGGTTGACTGTGAGTAACAGGGAGAATAGCAGCTTGTCCTGTGACAAACACAACACAGACAGTTAACTCAGTAGTTATGTGACAGCCAGGAAGCTGGGTTGGGGTGAGGGTTGTCTAGACCAACCCCTCCAGTCAGTAGAAACATCCATTCTGAGTGGTCCATCTGCTGTTTGTTGAACATCAGGTTGACTGTGAGTAACAGGGAGAATAGCAGCTTGTCCTGTGACAAACACAACACAGGCAAGTTAACTCAGTAGTTCTGTGACAGCCAGGAAGCTGGGTTGGGGTGAGGGTTGTCTAGACCAACCCCTCCAGTCAGTAGAAACATCCACTCTGAGTGATCCATCTGCTGTTTGTTGAACATCAGGTTGACTGTGAGTAACAGGGAGAATAGCAGCTTGTCCTGTGACAAACACAACACAGACAGTTAACTCAGTAGTTATGTGACAGCCAGGAAGCTGGGTTGGGGTGAGGGTTTTCTAGACCAACCCCTCCAGTCAGTAGAAACATCCACTCTGAGTGATCCATCTGCTGTTTGTTGAACATCAGGTTGACTGTGAGTAACAGGGAGAATAGCAGCTAGTCCTGTGACAAACACAACACAGACAGTTAACTCAGTAGTTATGTGACAGCCAGGAAGCTGGGTTGGGGTGAGGGTTGTCTAGACCAACCCCTCCAGTCAGTAGAAACATCCATTCTGAGTGGTCCATCTGCTGTTTGTTGAACATCAGGTTGACTGTGAGTAACAGGGAGAATAGCAGCTTGTCCTGTGACAAACACAACACAGACAGTTAACTCAGTAGTTCTGTGGCAGCCATGTTGCTGGGTTGGGGTAAGGGTTGTTCAGACCAACCCCTCCAGTCAGTAGAAACATCCACTCTGAGTGATCCATCTGCTGTTTGTTGAACATCAGGTTGACTGTGAGTAACAGGGAGAATAGCAGCTTGTCCTGTGACAAACACAACACAGACAGTTAACTCAGTAGTTATGTGACAGCCAGGAAGCTGGGTTGGGGTGAGGGTTGTCTAGACCAACCCCTCCAGTCAGTAGAAACATCCATTCTGAGTGGTCCATCTGCTGTTTGTTGAACATCAGGTTGACTGTGAGTAACAGGGAGAATAGCAGCTTGTCCTGTGACAAACACAACACAGGCAAGTTAACTCAGTAGTTCTGTGACAGCCAGGAAGCTGGGTTGGGGTGAGGGTTGTCTAGACCAACCCCTCCAGTCAGTAGAAACATCCATTCTGAGTGATCCATCTGCTGTTTGTTGAACATCAGGTTGACTGTGAGTAACAGGGAGAATAGCAGCTTGCCCTGTGACAAAAACAACACAGACAGTTAACTCAGTAGTTCTGTGACAGCTACGAGGCTTGGTTGGGGTGAGGGTTGTCTAGACCAACCCCTCCAGTCAGTAGAAACATCCATTCTGAGTGGTCCATCTGCTGTTTGTTGAACATCAGGTTGACTGTGAGTAACAGGGAGAATATCAGCTTGTCCTGTGACAAACACAACACGGACAGTTAACTCAGTAGTTCTGTGACAGCTAGGAGGTTTGGTTGGGGTGAGGGTTGTCTAGACCAACCCCTCCAGTCAGTAGAAACATTCATTCTGAGTGGTCCATCTGCTGTTTGTTGAACATCAGGTTGACTGTGAGTAACAGGGATAATAGCAGCTTGTCCTGTGACAAACACAACACAGACAGTTAACTCAGTAGTTCTGTGACAGCTAGGAGGCTTGGTTGGGGTGAGGGTTGTCTAGACCAACCCCTCCAGTCAGTAGAAACATTCATTCTGAGTGGTCCATCTGCTGTTTGTTGAACATCAGGTTGACTGTGAGTAACAGGGAGAATAGCAGCTTGTCCTGTGACAAACACAACACAGACAGTTAACTCAGTAGTTCTGTGGCAGCCATGTTGCTGGGTTGGAGTGAGGGTTGTCTAGACCAACCTCCAAGTCAGTAGAAACATTCATTCTGAGTGGTCCATCTGCTGTTTGTTGAACATCAGGTTGACTGTGAGTAACAGGGATAATAGCAGCTTGTCCTGTGACAAACACAACACAGACAGTTAACTCAGTAGTTCTGTGACAGCTAGGAGGCTTGGTTGGGGTGAGGGTTGTCTAGACCAGCCCCTCCAGTCAGTAGAAACATCCATTCTGAGTGGTCCATCTGCTGTTTGTTGAACATCATGTTGACTGTGAGTAACAGGGAGAATAGCAGCTTGTCCTGTGACAAACACAACACAGACAGTTAACTCAGTAGTTCTGTGGCAGCCATGTTGCTTGGTCGGGGTGGGTTGGTTGTTTACAACGTTTCTGACACTGGACAAGTTATATTTAGTTTTAAAAATTCAAACCAAACTGACTATGATAGGGAAAAAACATTAACCTAATTCTTACCTTCTCAAAGAGACTTCGACAGATGTTGACGTACAGAGAGTATGTAAAGTATGTAGTAAGCTCTGCTATTCTGTCTTCAACGTTTTCAGATTTCTCTGTGTTGTCGATTGCAGCTTTGAACAGGTTTATAAACCAGACAAGAGAGTATTGGTACATAGGGTCAATGTTTGCTAGGTTAGCTGAAAACAAACAACATAGGTAGTACAAACGTGTAAGACAGTATATATCGTTGCCACATGTTTTTGAGAAGACTACGCATTAATTATTTTTATTTATTAGACATACAAAATATAGCATTTAATTATTTTAACTGTAAATTAGATTACAATTTTTTGAAAGATCATAGATACTAGATACAGATTTTAATTTTAACTGAATCAAAAAAGTCCTCCATTATACTTACTGATGCTGAAAAACAACACTGTGGAATGATTAGCAATAGGGACATATTCCAGTCTAGCAGCGTCTATAGATTTCTCAGTCACTTCCGCAACAGCTTGTTTCTCTGAGATCTCATTGGCCAGGACTTTGGAAGAGCTCAGCACAGACACTCCCTCCTCATCTTCCAACAGGTTGTCACCAGCTGTTGACAATATGTACAGGATCTTCTCCTCAATCTCTTTCAGCATTCTGAAAGCAAATTTAATTACAAACACATATACTTGCTTTTTTGATAACATAGTAAATGGTTGTTCTTAATACATGCAATCAATAGCACAACTGGATCATGATACCCCTAAGAAAACCCCACTCTATTGGACAAAGACCTGGGATTGTTTGTCACATTTTTTCAGGCCGGGTTAACATCTAGCCTAAGCCCTCAGATCTTACACTGGTTCTGGTATTTAGTTATTTTATGATCTAGGTCAACGTAGAGCTTCATGGCGTGGAGAATAGCCTGGATGGACTGAGACACAAAGGTCATCATGTGGATGACGGTGTGCACCGACACCAATCCTACTTGGTATGTATGTAGTGTACTTTGTAATTAGTAGGGCCTATGTATTTATATTTCAAGCTTATGAAATATGAATGCAAGGTGAGTGTAGAATGGAGTGAGATGATAGATTCAAGTTTTTTCTGACTGGGTTCAGCTTTTTCATTAGTCAGGATCATTCAAGACCATCATTAAAAAACCCATCAAGAGACAGCTGGGTCTAGTTTCAAAATATCGAAAAGTTATCTTTCTCAGGATTGAACTAGGGTCCTTCTAATTACTAGGCGTGCACTATAACCACTCAGCTACCAAGCTCTGTTTGCAAGTAAATTCACAAGTTTTACCTAGTCAAGACTCACCTCTTGTTATCAGCTCCCTGGACTATCAGTTGGTTCTTCTCAGCCTCCAGATCTGGTCTGTCCTTGGCCACTACAATACCTAACAGCTGATCCTCCAGACCTGTAGGTGTGATCATGAAGTTGAGTAGAGTCACTTTGACTGCAATCTCTGGGAGGTAGTGAGGGTTCCGCAGCTTGGTAGTCAGATAGAACCTGCCGAGTAACAGACACCGCTATAAAATCTCACACTGGAAGCTATCATAACAATTCATAATATAAGATTTTACTATTCATTTGTGTCAATGTGCTGATTTTAAATCTGCTGCTAAGCTGTTGACAGTGAAATGAAATTAGTTTTATACATAGCAGAAAGGTTAAATATTTTCGACACTACAAAAATTCAAGCAAGATCGTTTCTGTGATGCAATCTTACATAAGGTTGATGCCAGATACTAACAAGACCATTCTCTTACATAAAACATAAAAAATTTCAATAGGTTAGGTAAACACAAGTAAAATAAATAAGTAGATAAATCTGTTTCCTGTTTGAGTAGGAACAACATTAATATTACACCTCCATTTGAGCTATGATACTTAGGCAATGAAAACATCAAATATATAGCGGCAGTTATAGGTGTCTAAAAAAGTTTAGTCATAAAAAAATATAAACTTGGGTTATTGGGTTGTTTATTCTTCTTCTTATACATAATAGAACAATATAATAATTCCATATCTGATTCTACAGGTTAACTAAGTACTAAAACTTACTTATAAACCACCTCTAGGTAGGTAAACAAGACGGAATCATAAACCAAACACAATTGGAGAAAAAATATACCAACCTGAACTGAGGAGAATATTCTACCACAGAATCTCCCAGCTTTATACACATGGCTCCTCCCTGCTTGAATGTCTGTTTCAGAAGCAATGGCTCAAGTAAAGCATCCAACTCTTCACCTACGTTTTCCAGCAAAACCTGAAAAACAGTAATCGGTGTGAATCTCAAGTGAGCCCCTCGTAGCGTTGTTTTAGGAAGAATATTTTGGAACCAATTATTTATTGATGGAGGAGAGAAATTTTCTTCATTGTAGCTAAAGTAAAAATCTTATAAACATAAGGTAACAGAGTTTGATATTATGTAAACTCAAAAATCAATTCAATATCAATAAATACAATGTACAATAATACTGATTGTGAATTCAGAATGTACAGGTAGTAGTTAGTAACCCATCACTAATTAACATGGTTAAAACGATAATTGCCCATGTGTGTAGTGTGTACCTACAAAAAGATTACCTAAATATCTACAGTAATGAGCGTAACTTAGATTTAATTAAATTGATTTTATTTAGATTTAATTAAATGCAAATTAAATTTAATATATTTTTATGACTATAAATATTTTTAGGAATTAAATTACATCAAAACATTAAAACAAACAGTCACAGTCATCAAAAACATAGATTACGGTAACTATTTTTTTCAAATGGAAATTAACTTAGATTTGAAATAGGATAAATAATGTTCCTGAATTTATATAAATATTGGTTACAAAGTCTTGAAGTGTTGAAGTAATAAAGTGGTTAAATCAAGTTTCAAGTACAGTAGACTCTCTCTTATTCGGACTCCTTGGGACCGAGGCCAGTCCGGATAACGGTTTTTCCGGTTAAACCGACGTCCCCAAAAACTCGTTAAAAACGGACCGTTTAAATGCATACTTTATACAGTATTAGACTTAAATTTAGGAGATCATTATATTTAGACACGTAATCACTGGTCTCAAATCTTTCCCACGAGAACAGTCGTTTCAGTACCGCCCACTTCCTGCCGATCTAGTCCGGTTAAACCGATGTGATGATAAAAATTGTCCGGCTCTTTAGCCATGATGGCGGCGGAAATTACATCTCTTTAGATGTAATTTCCGCCGCGTGTAGTCTGGTTAAAAGATGTCCAGATAAGAGGGTGTCTACTGTATTTCTTTTATCGATACATTATTCAAACAACTGACTTACAGGTTGACCAAACTGAATAGCGTTCTCGAGAACTCTCACATAATCAGAGCTGGTCATTCTCATCACACTCAGATTATTTGCTTTCTCCATGTTTTTTATCCATTTGTTCGCTTGACTCTGCGGGTCGATCATCAGTGGCCAACGTCTTGCATTCCTGTGAAGCAGTTACAATCAAATACCACATGCATCAGAAATCCATGAAACAAAAATAAGGCGTAGAAACTATTTATACTTACTTGACAATGATCCCGTTGTCAACGGAGAATGAGTCGCTGGGAAGACCGAAGATATTCCACGCTCTGATTTGTACAGGTTCTCCCAGAACAGAGGTGAGAGAAAAGTCTTTGGAACAGTAAATGTTGTAACTCTTGACTTGCTCAATCCACTTCTGCATCTGATCTTGTCTGAACTGCATTGTAAACGGTCCCAAGTACGCCACAGCTCCTGACGCAACCAGAATGTCTCCTGCAATCAATCTCGCATTGACTGTGTTGTTCGGTAAACCCCTCTGAATAGAAATATTCCCACCACAGCAAACCTACTAACCGAGCAATAGGTTTAACGTTGCTTCACCAAATTTTGTTGAAAAAGGTTCAGAGTAAGAGGTTTAACTCTTACATTTATGACTCATTCTCTAGATCCTTTATATTGTTTAATCTTTCAAATTAATAGATGGATAGGTAATACCGGCAACACATCCGGTTCAAGTTGTGTAGTTTTTAGTGAAGATCAATGAATAATTAGTGTTGAAATACTCATGTTCAGCAGGTTTGTTGATGAGCCATTTCTTTAACTAGAATTGTCTAGTAAATTCCAGTATTTCAGCCAATGTTTCAAATCACAGAAATAATTAATCACAGAACGCATTACATACTTGGACGGAATGTGGACTTCAACCTACTATAACAATGCTGAGCATTGCATAGAGAAAGAGGTCTCAAGTCGGCCAGAATTGTGATAAGGAAAGTAGCGGCGTTGGAAAACTAGCTTGTACTGTTGCAACTGGAGCTTGTTAGAATATTTACTTTACCTGTAAGCAGATGATATCGTTCCCCAAGAGCCTTGGCTGTGGCACTCCATCTGTCTTTCTCTCCTCCCAAACCACCAATGAGTTCCTCAGCTCTCTGTAGCTTCTTGGTGCAGAGGTCAACTTCATCCTGAAATCAGGAATCGTTCAAATCTTTAGAAAAATGTTAATATTCTTTGAGAAATCCCAAGAAAAATTACAGTATGACTAATATCTTTAGTATAAATATTATCTCCATTTTATGTTGTTCCTTACATCTAAATACTGTGACTCTCTACTAACCTGTACTTACACTCCAGCCTAGTAAGGATTTGTAAAGTAATACTTCTTTAGTGGTTTGTTTTATGCTTGATTGACTGAAGATCTGTTGGTGTAGTAAACTATATGAATAACAAGATGGAATAAACTGCTACCCTAATTTGTGGACTATAAACAATTCTTCTGGACATAACCTCTATGGTATCGTAAATGTCTCTAACATTTTTGTTAGACTTTAAAATTTGTTTCTAGAAATTTTAACAGTTTCAGTGTATAAAATAGGTAATGCTGGGCTCAATGCTCAGTGAGATGCATAAACTTTAAATTCAGACCTGATTTATGGCTTAAGATTCAAGTAAAGTGTTCAGGCTGAATTTGCAGAGGGTTACATTAATAATGTGAATGGAACTAGATGGGAATAATGTTTCAAACTAAAATTGGATGGTACTGGGTTTATTCTGAAAGAAATAGATGTTTTGGTCTATCCAGGAAGAACAAGAAACTACCACTGTCATTTGGGCGTCAGCCTGTGAAGTTAGACAGTTACTACATCAAACATGCATCCATTTCTGTAATGCAGAAGGTCCTCTGTAAAGCTTAGCTTTCCAATCCTAAAATTGCTCCTCCGATGTACAATATCTCAACATTTTGTCCCTAATACACAAAGGCCTCCATGAAAATTAGAGCGAAGTTGAATGAAACATTCACTCACAGCAATTGTTAATTTTCAGAATAGAGGCTATTCCAGTTACCTGTAGGTTGTTAAGGGTAGCCTTGTTCTGCTCCAGCACAGCCTCTAAGTCTGCCAGTTTCTTCTGTACTTCCCTCAACTTGGCCTGTTTTATCTCCAGAGCAGCCATTGCTGTGTTATAGTCAGCTTCTGCTACCACTAAAGCTGCTTTCTTAGGTGCAATTATCTTAGCTTGTACATCATACTCGGACAGTGCTCTGATCCATTTACACAAACCTATGGGCAGAACAATAATTCATCGATAGAACAAAAAATAGATCCTTTTAGGTCACCATATTTGGTAGAATTTAATTAATCAGTACTGTTATAAATATGAAACAAAGAAAAAGCTTTATTCATATCATAATGATAACATATGAGGTGCCGGAATGGAAGTAAAACCTACCAGTAAATAACTATGACTGATCCCTAGCCATCTCTATAATTGACTCTATCCAATAACAATTGTGACATAATGTGACAAAAATCTTAAAATTATTATGTAGGATCAGTATTTATTTGAAAATTAAATGTAAAAGCTAAAAATGTCCTAAAAGAGAGAGCACATTGTTTTAATTTTATACACAAACAAGTTTAAATTTGCTATGCAAATGTTAAATACGTCATATAGGCCTACCTTGACTTAAATGAAGAAGTTGTAATATTCAATGTAGAATTGTAAATCTTGAATAATAGAAAGAGTAAAAACTATTAGATCAATTAAGATAGAACATCAATTGAATAAATCAGGTAGGCCTACCCTTAAAATAGATGCAAGAAAACTATGCAACATTTTTAGATTTTTGAGCAACTGTTTTGAGTCTTAAAATACCCAGTCAACTTCTTTGTAAAAACTTGAAGTTATTCTTAATTTATAAATCTATTCAAGCTAACACACTTTGTCCATGAAAAATAAGAAACAACAAAACTCAAAGTGATCACCTTCTGCTGCGGTAGAAGCAACTTTTACTTTGACCGGATCAAAGTCTTCATTGGTAAGGAACTTTTCATTGATAACTTTCATGATTCGTGGCGGAATGTTGTCTTTGTCAAACTGTACAAGACCCTCCAAGAACTTGAGATCTCCCAGTAGTCTCTTGGACGGTCCCCAGTAGTCTTCCACCATCTTGCCACTACCAGACGGGTCTGGGACTCTGTCTGGCTTGATGTCCTGTAAAGTACTGAATAGTCACCTTAAGTCCACTAAGTAACGTCATCTAAAGTCATTCTTGGAGGAAAAAAAACCACAAAAAAGGATTAATTTAATTGTGTTGTGAACTTTTAGTGTGTGCTACTAACTGTCTGGAACTATTTTCTTGGGTTAGTTAAATGAACCCATTCCTTCTTCCTTAATACATTTCCAAAGTAAATGTTAAAACACCAGTTTACACTGTTATTGGCTGAATTCACCCTTTTGGTTTAAGAATGATGAATGGATTTAATGGTATATATGTTTTGTTGAAAAAAGAAGTATGAATGTAGGGTGTTTTGTAATTTAATTTAACTTACACAAACTTGTCTTTTGCCATAATTTGACATGAACTTAGGAAAACCCCATACATATACTACCTATATATTTAACTGGAAAGTGTATTTTTTGTCTCCACTGAATTGAGAGACCAGCTGGGCGTACAGGGTATCCACCAGGCCAACCAGAATTCATGAGTAAAAAAAAAAAATCAAGGTAGTTCTGGTCGTACTTTTCACACTAAAATTTCCAACGTGTTTTGCGCCAACTCCCGCAGTGGTGTTTTAGCGCTCTAACACAGCTCGCTATTCTCAGTTAAGAAGGAAAATACCCCCGCCGCAGCAAACCTGCCGACTAAGCGAATTTCCATTTGTCTGAATTGATTTTCAGTTAAATATATTTTAATAACATTAGGTTTAACGAGTACCTAGGTTTGCTGCTACAAGGAAACTAATAAAGTGTGTTTTTGAGTAAAATATTTATAGCTTAGTACAAAATAAATAAATTTGCCAAGTTTGATCAAAATATATTCATAAACAAGCAAACTACAACATTTGACAATATTCTCCATAAGAATAACATGGGAATTTTAAATTTACAATTTTTTTAATTTTCTCCGTTACTAATAATCGAACAAAAATACTTTTATATACCAAATTATTTGTTTTTTTAAGCTCTTTAAAAAGGTTTAAAGAGAAATTGGGAAATTTTGTGTTTTGAGGGTCAAAAGTGAGAAAAACCAATTTTTACCCCATAAAACCCCCCGTAAAGCCCCGTTCCCATGGTCCAATTGTGCTGGTTCGCGAACTCATTCAAGTTTATCCCGCTTTACACCTTTAAACCAAATTTCATCAAAATCGGACAAAAATTACTCAAGTTATCGCGTTCACGGACGTATATATATATATATGTCTATATATATATATAGTTTGATTGAGCCGACGTTAAGTCCTCATTCTAGCATGAGGACGACGATAAGTGCTCGATAGTGAGGACCTGCGGTGAGTACTTAACGTTCCTTCATGCCGACGTTAGGTACTCCCCCCACCACACTTCCCTAGTCTCGCTTGCTTTAGGTCCTCACGCCACCCAAGTCCTCATTTCTAACATGTGTAGCAGATCGTGGGAATAATCCCTCTAGTGTGATACGTACACAAAGTGAAAAATACCCGTTTGGTTGTAGCTTTCTCAAGTCCTAGTTTACATGTTTTGAATAATGCATTTAGTGCATGCATCTTAATGCAAACTTAACCAAATAATTAGCTGTTATCCTTAATACGTGAACCATTAGTAAATTTTAAATGTATTTTAAATGAATTACAGTAGTTGCAAGCCAGAAAAGCGTTGTTTTAACAATTATTTACTTTCACGTCCAGCCAGAAATGCTTATTCAATGTATAACCTTCAAACTAATTAACAAGTGGTTGGCTACCCATATAAAATAATGTTAAAATGTTTTATGCTGTATTATTGTTTGTAATAAAAAGTTGATACCCACGTAGTCTGCTAGAATTTTAACCGTTTTGCCGTATCTCAAGCCGTTTTCGAGATATAAGCATTTGAAAACAATAAAGCTGTCCCGCACCGGCAGCGCCTGGAGTTTGTAACCTTTGCACCTATTTCAGAGTCAACGCTGACATTATTTTGCAACGCACTGATATAAAAATGAAACTGTTTAATTTATTGGTTGAGGTCTGAGTTTTCAGTTGTCCGAGTTTGCTAAACATTACTAAATATTAGGAAAATCAGTTGTCCGAGGTTCATTTGTACGAGGTTTAATAAATAACTAATAATACTTAAATAAATAAACTGCCCAAGTTTTCATTTGTCCAAGGATGGTTTAAATTGGAATAATAGTATTTGGTTAAATCCACTGTCCGAGCTTTCATTTGTCAGAGGGTTTAAAAGAGTTTAAAATAATTTTGAAATAGCATTTGTCCGAGTTTTTAACGGTCCGAGTATCATTAGTGCCAAAAGTGACTCCACCGCCGAGGCGCTAGTACAGTCCGCGCAAGAAGTAATCAGACCAACAACGTCATTTAATTACACAGACATACGCCATTTAATGACATACATTCGTAGTAAACATTCAGAGACAAAAATCTCTCAAAATTGGGTTGTTGAAGGTTCCTTATTTTATTTCCAAAGTAACCATGTTTTAATAGACAGTTTCACCAACCCATTGAATAAGGGAAAACTATTTAAATCTTGATGGGTACTCTAGTTTTCTCGGAGTAGGCCGCTTAAATTGGCATTTTGGCGTTACAGACACAATAATAGACAGACAAACAAACAAACTGACAGAAATTGAAATAAGAGTAGTTTTGGATATCTTAAGATGTGAATCTTAAATATAACAAAAAACTTCATGACTCTACGCAATAAACGGACAAAATAGTATATTTTGTCACTAGGGCCTAAAGTGACTCTTTTTGACCAAAGGTCACGTTTTACAATCATTGAGAAGCTGAGGTTGGAAAATGAGCAAGGGTTAAACAGTTACTTTTTGCCTGTGTGATTAACTAAATTTTCTTCATATTGTATCAATTAACAAAAACAAAGCTAGAAAACTAAATAATTTGTATTTAAAGATAACCTTTCAAACCGACTTCCAGCTTGTTTCCAATTCTGCTTATGCAAATAAGCAGCTGTTTAGTAAGTAATTCAATTATTTCGTCTATTACGATTGTGTTCCTATGACATCGATATGTCGAGCAATCGTCAACAACAGGCTAAAGCAATCGATAAATAATTTCAATCAATACGATTGCCAATCGAAATTTACTACAATTTACAACAGCTGATTTCTCCCTAGAAAGTAAAAATGCTACTTTAAACCCACAATACATGCATTAAAACGGCTGTTTTTGCTGTATTATGACGAAAATGTGACTTTATTTGTTTAGATGCCCAGCTGACTTATTTGCATTTCCACTAAAAATAAAATATATGCCTAGCAAATAAATGGGTAACCGCTTCTTTTAAAACATAAATAGCAACTGACGAATAAAAGTAAAGAATTCGAAACTAAACTAGAGTTTTGTTTTGAAAGATTGCCAAGTATGTACACCTATTGAATTTTGTTTTCATTTAAGGAATGTCACCGGCCAAATCGCGTAAAAATGAAATTTAAAATAAAATATAAAACTAATTCATTTCAAACGAAAACCGGATGGCCTATAGTGTGTCTTTTTATAGTGACGAGAAATTTTACGTTTTTAATAATTATACAATAATGACAATAATCAGCCACAAAGTTTCGTTTGTTATATTTTGAGGTCGTCATGTCACACATTTTGTGTTTGAGGTAAATTACCATGATATATCCGTGATCATAAGAGATAATAACGATGTTGCCGTTATCGTGGGTGAGGACCACGACGTTGCTGTGGTCGTTTGAGACAACAACGATGTTGCCATTATCGCAGGAGATAGCAATCTACTTATGACGTGTTGACTGTAGATGATCTAACACGGAATGATAGGGTACTATAACAGATCAATTTACTAATTTTCCTTTGAACTTGTGACATGACACTCTGCTATCCATTAGCAACAAATAATTTTTTCTTTGCCATTTACGTATGCATATATGCTAAGGGTTGGTAGCTTTTTATGGTTCGAAAGTGAGCTCAACTGACCTGGTCATTAGTCTTTAAATACACGATCCTGACTTATGAGATAGCTGATCTTAGACTGGCACAAAACTACACAGATCATCTCACAACATTCTAAACTCATACTTCACTCATATTTTGGAGAAAAGTGCGCACCTAGATGGGAAATAATGTTCCTAAATAAACAATAAAGTACTCGAAAAGGTACTTGGTTGAGAAGGGGTTTACTGATGATTAAGTTATTTGATTTATTTATTTATTGAGTTATTAATGATTTAGTTATTTGTGACGATTGTTCACAATTTTACACTTCCTTGATAAGTAAAAATTTAACTGTATAAAATATAGCTTTGAGTACAAATTTTGCCAAGGGGTACGAAACATACACAAAATACATTACAAAAGTAACGCTAAAACATCCGAAGCTTACGTATCCCATTCACAAACCTTCTAAATACTTTGACGCCACGACAGTTGTTATGTAATGACAAACTGTGTGAATCTTCTTAACCAACGTGCAATAGTTATTTGTGTAACTAGTGTGCGACGTAGCGCACTATGCAACAAAGGCAATTTACATTCGCGTTACTTTTCCTACAGTTACTATAAAGCATATCTATTGTCATGTCTCCTTATGAAGGGGTTGGTAGCTCAGAACTCAAAGAACGAAACCGTTGATCTCCAAACAAATTTATATTCTCAAAACTACAAAACCCGGCGTCACACCGTCCTAAGGTCCCTAACTATTAAAACAATACAATATGAAACCATACTATCCCTGCTACTAGCAGCCGTAACAAGTAGTACACTCTTCTTGTCTCCGCCGTTGACCCTTGACACCGACCATCGACCGCTACAGTGCAACTCGTGGTGTACTCGGGCGTTGTCCACTGTCCAGCCGCAGAATATGGGGAATATGGGCCTGGACGTCACACTATACATTTAATAAGAAACATATATATTGTGATAATTGTTTTGAAGCTGTCATGTAACCAATCACCATGTTCAAGGTTTCGTAGGTCATGGCACGTAGATTTGCAATCAAACAACACATTTTTGAAATACCTTTAGGAATCTGCCACAGTG